GATATAGAATCATAGGACTGGAAGGGACCTCGAGAGGTCATCGAGTCCAGCCCCCCGCCCTCAAGGCAGGATCAAGCTCTGTCTACACCATCCCTGACAGATGTCTATCTAACCTGTTCTTAAATATCTCCAGAGAGGGAGATTCCACCACCTCCCTTGGCAATTTATTCCAATATTTGACCACCCTGACAGTTAGGAATTTTTTCCTAATGTCCAATCTAAACCTCCCCTGCTGCACTTTAAGCCCATTACTCCTTGTCCTGTCCTCAGTAACCAAGAGGAACAAATTTTCTCCTTCCTCCTTGTGACACCCTTTTAGATATTTGAAAACCGCTATCATGTCCCCCCTTAATCTTCTTTTTTCCAAACTAAACAAGCCCAGTTCATGAAGCCTGGCTTCATAGGTCATGTTCTCTAGACCTTTAATCATTCTTGTCGCTCTTCTCTGTACCCTTTCCAATTTCTCCACATCTTTCTTGAAATGTGGCGCCCAGAACTGGACACAGTACTCCAGCTGAGGCCTAACTAGTGCAGAGTAGAGCGGCAGAATGACTTCACGAGTTTTGCTTACAACACACCTGTTGATACAACCTAGAATCATATTTGCTTTTTTTGCAACAGTATCACACTGTTGACTCATATTCAACTTGTGGTCCACAATGACCCCTAGATCCCTTTCCGCTATGCTCCTTCTTAGATAGTCGCTTCCCATCTTGTATGTATGGAACTGATTGGTCCTTCCTAAGTGGAGCACTTTGTATTTCTCTTTATTAATCTTCATCCTGTTTACCTCTGACCATTTCTCTAACTTGCTAAGGTCATTTTGAATTATGTCCCTATCCTCCAAAGAAGTTGCAATCCCACCCAGTTTGGTATCATCTGCAAACTTAATAAGCGTACTCTCTATCCCAATATCTACATCATTGATGAAGATATTGAACAGTACGGGTCCCAAAACAGACCCTTGCGGAACTCTACTTGTTATCCCTTTCCAGCAGGATTTAGCACCGTTAACAACAACTCTCTGACTACAGTTATCCGGCCAATTATGCACCCACCTTATCATGGCCCCATCTAAGTTATATTTGCCTAGTTTATCAATAAGAATATCATGCGAGACCGTATCAAATGCCTTACTAAGTCTAGGTATATGACATCATCCGCTTCTCCCTTATCCACAAGGCTCGTTATCCATCAACTAGGCAACTAACGGCATTTTAACATCCTTACTTGATACCGACCACCAAACAGACACTGAGCCATTGATCAATACCCTTTGAGACTGACCATCTAGCCAGATTTCTGTCCACCTTATAGTTCATTTATCCAATTCATACTTCTTTAACTTACTGACAAGAATACTGTGGGATAGAACATAAAAAGCTTTGCTAAAGTCCGGGTATTCACGTCCACTGTATTCCCCATATCCAAAGAAGGCCATCACATTGCTCGGGGATGACTTTCCTATGTTGACTATTCCTGATCGCTTTCCTCTCTAAGTATTTCAGAATTAATTCCCTGAGTGATCTGGTCCATGATTTTTCTGGGAACTGAGGTAAAGTCTGTATTGTTCCATGGATTCTCCTTCCCTTTTGTTAAAGATGCATACTGCATTTGCATTTTTCTAGTTGTAAAAACCATACTTACATTTCTATTAATATTAATATTGGTAATGCAGAACATTCTATAATTAGGTTTTCTCTGTTTTAGTCTTTGCACAGAGTATTTTTCTTCCCTTGTGTATGCAGTTCAGTCAGCCCAGCTATTTGTTTTTGCTCCTCAGCAGTGAACAAATTAAACCAACCAAACAACCAGGCAAATGTGAATGTAAAATTACAGAGAATGGACGGAAATGTAAGAACGGGTGTAGTTATTGAGAATAATTTTAATTTTTCTTAAATTTACTAGATTTTTTTTTGTTGATCTATGTCCCCTTTTTATTTTAGTTCATACTTGTAGTTTTAGAAAACTCATTTTTTTCTCCTTTTATTTCTCATTTTTATTCAATAGTGAGTAATCAGCTTGCTTGCTTAAATCTTTAATAGAAGAAATACATTGTATAATTTTTTAAAATGGCTAAATTCTTATATCTTTTTAAATTGTAATATGTTTCTCAAGACATTGCTCTTCATTTATGTCTATTGGTAGTTTTTGTTAGTGTTTTAACTATCTTACTTTTAACACTTTTATACAAGGGCTTAAGAGTCTGTTACTGTTGAAATGTAAACGTTACCTTTGA